AATCGGGGCGGGCGGGGTGGCGGGAAGAAAAGAAAGAAAACGAAAAAAAAAAATCAGGAAGAGGTATATCACAATTATGCAAACTGAGAGGAAAAAAGAGATGCATCGGAGACAGAACGCTTCCCTTCCTGTCATACGCACTAGAGTGATGCTTTGCTAGAAAAGTCTCCTTGTCGGGGCTGAGGTGAACAGAGCAGAGGGGCGCTTTGCTTTCCCTCTTCGGTGCGTTTTACCTCTTGAGGCACCGTAACTTTTAAGTCCTCCAAGTTGTGGTCGGCGCCATCATGATGCCAGGGACTGTGAGGTGGTGTTGTTTCTTTTCTTTCCAATCTCGCCGGGGCGGCCGCGCTACAGTTGACAAGCGGCCAACTAGTTCACTCTTTACCTCTTTTCGGATATAGGTAGGGACGGTGACGGGGGGGAGGGGCTGCTTTTTGAGGGGACAAGAGGGGGGTGCTTGCAAGGCCTGGCGGTAGAGCAGCTGGCGCGTCTAATGGGTCAGTCGCTAAGGATTGGACGGCGGTCCCCCTACACCCCGTACCTCGTGCATGTTGACATTAAATTTTGTGTGTGTGTGTGAGAGAGAGGTATAGTCAAAGTGGAGAGCGCGTGGACGTGTGTGTGAGTGTGTAGTAAGCGCGCGCCCGTGTATGCGCGCGAGTCGAGCTCGCGGGGCCTGTAAGCGCGCGGCACGCAGGCGCGCAGGGAGGGGCAGGGAGGGTCGTGAAGGGATGGAGTCGGGAAGAGACTGCAATCAAGCGTTTTAATTGTGTGCAGCCAGGCAGTCCTGTTATGTAAGAGGCAGTTTAACCCGTTTGAGCCTATCAGGCGGAATGATCAGCGCGTTCGAATCTAGGCAGGGCAAAGTTACCGGGTTTAACGAGTCACAGGTTTATATTTTTTAACAGCCTCCAAACCCGTTTGGATAGGCTTCCTACTCCGCGGCGCAGAGCGGCTACCCTCTCTTCTTACGCCGCCGCATCCACGTAGCAGCTCGCCCCTACGCTGCGAGCCGCTGTCCTGGCCCAAGACAGAGTGAGGTGTTGGGCGTGGGGCCGCCGCCTACCCTTTTTTACTTCTTCCCTTCTTGAACTCCTTTCCAGATTCAGGATCCTTTAGCTATTCCAGTCCATTCGCAGACCAATGCGAGAACCGAGGCTAGAGTCGATAGCAGTTACGCCGATCAATCTTGTTCAGTGAGGAGTTTGGGAAGCTGAGGAGAGAAACAAGTAATTTAAAAATATGCTCACCCCTCCCCTTCCTCCAACCCTATCCCCCTTAAGCAGTCTTGGAAGATTTTCTTCGGCTGACCCCAGTCCTTCATCCCTTGGAGGAAATAAATACAGCAAAACCTCGCACATCCCTAACTCGTTTTCCGTAATGCTAGCAGGGTCCTTTGGCAAAGCGCGCAGAAGCAATAATCTCTGCAGGGGTCAGCATCCGGCTGCCTCCCCAGACTGAGCTCTTTACGAGGCAGGCAGGGAGTCGTTTTGCTTGGAGGGAGCGGTGCTCAGAGTGATTTTTATCGCAGTTTATGAGGATATATGAGAAAAGGGAAAGGTTCCCATCACCTGTGACCACCCAGACTGACTGATCGAAGAGCCCCTAACCAGCATCACCTCCCTGCTGAAGTGACAAGTGACACTCCAAGGCCCGAGCCGTTTGCATCAGGAGTTACTGATGTTACTAGTATTCGAGCTTAACTCTCAAATCCGGCTCGGAAATTGAGAGTGCAACAGTATTCAACCGCGTTTTGAAACATCAATAAAATGTTAGTCATTTGCGGATGAATGAAAACATTTTCTTTACCGTCTGGTATGCTAGGGAAATAATTGTCAAATGACAGACTCTTGCTAATACTGAAGCCAGATACCTAGGTAACACTGTTGTCTTGTTAACTGCGTTTTTCTCTTGCGTGGTACACTAATGGATAAAGCTTAAAATTATCTAGGGCAAACGGGGAATTAGAAGAATCGACATGTCGTATACATAGGAAAAACTTCGCAGTATTATTCAGTATTTTCACTAGAAATTATCTAGATTCCATTGAAGAGAAGCAGAAGGCACAGGTTCCAGCATTGTGACTCAGTTTAGTGCTATTTTATGCAGGGATGGGGTGCCAGCGTTTTGTAGTACAAGCTGTGAAAAGCATCCTTTTGTAACCGCTGTTTCTCAGAGATCTGACATCTTCAGTGAGGAGGGGGGGAAGGAGGGGGGGAATCTGTGACCAGGGATGGAGCTATGCAGCAGTTTTAATATGTACAACAGCCCTTCAGGCTTGTGAAAGGAAACTGGGACCACTTCTCTTTAAAGGCAAAGAGTTTATTTTCTTTATTTCTAGTTTTTATCTCAACTTCCATTCACTGATCACAAAACACTTAAATCTCACAAAACCCATCCAGAGGAAGCAATAATTGAACCTAGTTTATAGATGTGTGGACAATTGGAAAGCTTATTTACATGTGCATCACTGTTATTTAAAGTGAGTGCAAGAGTGCTGAGTGGGGTAGCCTTATTACTGCATGTACTTTCACTGTCCTTCTGACTGGGAAGGGAAATGATTTTCAAAGCTTTTATTACTTTCTTTTCTCCTCAACCTTTCTGTGGGCATATATCTGAGAGGATTTTACAGGGTTTCTAGTATTTGCTTTTGAGGTCCTAGATTTCTTTCAAGCAGAGACTTAAATCCTATAAGTCTTGGCTCCTGAGAGAAAATCAGAACAAAAACAAAGAACAATGAAATGAAAGAAAGAACACCTCCCAGCTCAGATAGCACATTGTTCCTTAGTAGAATTTTTGTTTGTTTGTTTTTTAATAAGTATTGAGAATAGGTAACAGCATTGTTGGAACATTTTAGATAATGAGGGTTGGAGTGGGTATAGTATGATAATCCCTTGGTCAGAGTTTTTAGGAATTAACATTGGAATGAATTACTACTACTACTACTTCCTCTTGAATCATGTGCTCTTACTTTGTTTTCAAAGCTCAACTTCAAATATTTAAAGAAATGTGGTGACCAATATTGAAGGAGAAAGGTGGAGCCTGACTTTAATAATTGATTATGCCTTTAACTAGACTGGTTTACACCCCTGTTTTTCATGTCCTCTGACCTCAGGGGGGTTGGAAGGGTGATGTTGTAAGGAAGATTCTTATGTTTCTTTTGTTTAATAAACTTGATTTTTAATTGACAGTGTAAATGAGATTATTTTGGAAAAATTTTGAATATAAATTCACATTTATTTTCTGATAACAAGTAAACCCAGATACATCTTTCATTCTATTACTGTGTAGGCATGAGAAATTTTAGGCAAGACAGGTCCCAGGACCTAATCAGAGCTAATGAGAGTACTTTGTAATCCCTGAAAGAGTCCGTCAGGAAGCCCTTTTAAACAGGACATATGAATAATAGCTCTTAAACTTGGGCCATAATTGAGTCTCTATTTGAATTAAGCTGGGTTAAGCTTGGAGAAACTTGCCAACTTAAACTGGCCTATAGTGGTGATTTGCAGGTCGGTATGAGAACTACAAAGCTTGGGATATTTGTTGGGGTGGAGGATATTTCTTTATAGAAATGTTTCTCAAACTAGGCACTTTTTTATAGAATTATAGTTGATTTACACTATTGTATTAAATATCAGGTATGCAACAAACTGATTCAGATATATATATATATATATATATATATATATATATATATATATATATATATATATAAATACACATATTATATATATATATATATATTCAACCACCTAGAACACATTCCACAGGCAGAGTGTGGACCATCTCAGAAGTCAGGAGGCCCCAGGGTATGGGGTGGTTAGCTTTTATGGGCTGGGTAATTTCTTTTTTTTTTTTACTTCCTAATTTTTATTTATTTATTATTTATTTATTTATTATACAGCAGGTTCTTATTAGTTGTCTGTTTTATACATATTAGTGTATACCTGTCAATCCCAATCTCCCA